TGGTCCGGCGGACCGGGCGTAAATGAAGACGACGGACCGCGAAGAAAACTGCTCCTGGTCCGGCTGACCAAACCTGGTCAGCTCCGGACCAGGGCTTCGGAAGATTTCCGCGGCTGACTGGGCTGCGCAGGCGGACTGAGGAGGGGCAGCGGCGTGCTGGTCCGGCGGACCTGTCACGGTCAGCTCCGGACCAGTAGTTCTTCGTTTTGGCTTGGTCAGCCGTGCACGGGCGGAGTGAACGGGCGGACTGGAGACTCTTCCTGCGGTCCGGGGCTGACCAGATTTGGTCAGCTCCGGACCGGAAGATTTCTTCACTTTCTCCACTTTTCTCTTCTTCCGGGTCTAGTCCGTCCGTTCCGGCATATGAGTCCGTCCGTTCCAGACCTAAAATCTGGGATATTATGCTTCTGTCTTCTCCGTTTCGTCCCGAAAACTCTCGAGTCCCTGCAATAGTCAAAACCTGGTCCCAGAGACCTAAATATGGCTCTAATATGCCTAGTATGTGTGGAAACCGTCTAGAAACCAAAGGCATACTCGTATAAAATCCAGATAAAATCCGAGCCATCAGTTTGCTACACCAAATCCCAGTGTCCCTTTCAGGCTTCATCGCAGCAATATGTAGGTATGCTTGTGCCTTTAATGACAAAGAATCATGGCAAAGATCATCAACTACCTCCTATGAAGATTATGAAAAATATTACAAGACATATGAATAATATCCTATAATATGGTAATATCCAATTTGATTTTATCTATTATATTTGAGATACTTATAATAAAAGGAAAAATTCTACAAATATATAACAACTTGTCTAAATGTGCATATAAATATTCAATTTTTAAATTGTTAAATATATACCTAAATTTGTATCAAATATATATCAATGGATGATGATATCAAGTTGTGTTGATTTGATTTATTATTAGAATTTTTTATTAAAAAATAAATATTCAAATTATTTTTAAAACAAAAATATCCATTATTTGAAAAAATTGCCACTATACCTATGTCTATATAAAGATAAGATTTTTACCATTTTTACCATAATTCATATTTAAAAAAAAAGAGTTTTATAAAAAAACAAAATTTGAGGTATGTTTTTTACATTTTATTTTTTTTAAATATATATTATATCTCTATTCTAATCTGTCAAGATATATCAGAATTTGATCAATATTTTTTACCCAAAAATCTTAAAAAAATGATTTTTGCCTTTAAGTGATTTTAAAAGTTGTTAAAAAAAGTAAAATAATAGAATATTGATGATGACTCAGATTTTATATGGATTTATGCCTTTGGTCTCACACGATTTTTACATATTCTTAGGTATATTAGAGCCATCTCTAGGTCCTTGGGACTTGGTTGTAACCATTTTAGAAATCCGAGGGGGTATCGATGGACTTCGGGACGAAACAGAGAAGTCATGAGCAAAATTTTCTAGACAGAACACAGATCCGATGGACCAGGAATTAGTCCGTTCGGACTGAACACGCTGGACCCGACGGATCATAATGCAGTCCGTCCTGCTGGACCCAACAGACCAACGCACAGTCCGTTGGACCGACATTGCTGGACCTGACAGACTAGGAAGCAGTCCGTTCGGACTGATGTACAAACTTTGCCAAAGCTACGCCGTTTCGGAAAAATTGCCCTAGTTTTAGAGGAGAAAAGAGGCAAAAAATCCACAGACTTGGAGAGGGCAGAAATTGGAGAAGCTAGGAGATAAAAGGAGAGTTCTTGGAGGAGAAAGAAGAAGGAGGAGACTCTATTGAAGATTGAAGAATTCTTGAGTATCTCTCTACTCTCTCTTATGATTTCCATCTTTTGTCGCTGTTTTGTTTTGAGTTTGAACATGGTTTGTGAGTAGTTAGCTAGTTATGGGGTGAGAGTGAACATTCATGGAAGGATGTGTGAACCCACTTGGTGAATCTATGTTATTGCTTGATTTATGCTTCTTACTCTCTCTCTATGGACGATTTCTATGCTTAATCTCTCTATCCCTCTTTGAATGAACCCCTTAGGAAACTTAGGGTTAATTTGTGAATGAAATGGATGCCATGGTTGAGAATGGTTGCTTGGGTTGGTGAATGAATCTTAATGCCTCTCATGAGATGAAAATCCATTGAGTTGGTCTTAGAGTTAGAATTTTCATGGAGACATGATATTTTGACTTGTTGCATCATTCATCCAAATGGATTATGATTGAGTGCGAAGAAATTCGGTTCAATCCGATCTAGGATCATGACAAGGGCACTTAATGCATCTAGGATTTCATTCTAAGCTACAAAAGTGGGTAGATTGGTCTCTTGGATAGCGGGTATTCGACTCGAAAGAGTCGAACCCAACCTTAGTCTTTGAATCCCACTTTTTAGAGAAACATGACGTAGATTCTTATCCTTGATCACATCCTCACATGTTCGGTGAATCCCGAAATCCATAACTTTTCCATTTGATTGTCTTTCCACGCCTTTTGATTTCTTTGCTTCCTTTTATTTCTTTTAGCTTACCCTAAATCCAAAAACCACAAAACCAATTTCCACTTTTTTTTTTTATTTTTTATTTTAGTTTTAGTCGATTCCTAATTTAACCACATAAGTCTCTCTGATCGACTCCGGTACTATGACATTCGTATACTTGCGGATATGCAGTGTTTCGGGTTATAAATTTAAGACTCGTAACGTAAGTGATCAATTGACTATAGTTTTTTTTTAGTTTTCAATTAACAAAATCTCGATCCAGTCAAGACTTTAGTCTTATTCTTATTTCACTATGAAAACACACAATTTCCAATGGATTTTTTCAACGTATGTATTTATTGAACATTTTTCAATTAATTTCAATGGTATTTCAATGACGATTTTTAATAAAATTATGTTGAGATTTCCAATGGATCCAATAAAAATTTGGTTGAAAATTTCCAACGATATTTTTAACGGATTTCGATTGAAAATTTCCAACGATATTTCCAACTTATTTCCATTGGAAAAATCAGTTGAAATTTTCAATACAATTCCAACGGATTTCTGTTATGGATTTTAGTTGAAAAAATCGATTGAAAAATTTCCAACAGAATTTTAATAGATTTCGTTTGAAAATAACATTCCAAATACCCACATGTATATATTTTTATTTATACGTATAAGAATATATATACAAATATATATTTATATATATATATATATAAACACATATAAATATTGATACATATTATATATATATATATATATATATATTGTGGATACATATGTGTATTTAATTAAACGAGTATATATATATATATATAAACACATTTATATATGTATATATATCGATATGTGTGTATATATATGTATATGTATATATATGTTTAAATATTTATATGTATATACATAAATGTTATATTATATTAGAAGTTTAATTTAAAAAAGTTGGTTGTTTGTAAATTAATACTTTAGAGTTAAGCTACTTATGTTGGAGTAGTGGGAGAATGGATGACCTATCGAACAGTGAGTTCGGAGATTCAATTTTAGAGTTTCGGGTTCTATTTAAAGTCGGGTTGGTGGTTAGAATTGAGTTTGCGGGGTCGGAATCGGGATCAAAATCGATAATATGTTTTGAATTTTTCGTTGAAATATATTCTAACGAATTTCGGTTGGAAAATCCGTTAGAAATTTTCAATGGAAAATTTTGTTGAAAATTCTTACGGACAAAAAAATCCGTTAGAAATTATATGTTTTTTTTTGTAATGCTTATAATAATACATATATGATATAGTATAGGTATTCATAAAACATAAAATAACCTCACATATCCCATGATTGTTTACATGCCATCTTTAGGGTAAGAATAAAGAATCATTTTTATTTAATTAGCTATGATATTGACAACCATTCACACGACCAAATCTTTAATACTTCTTAGATATAAATATAAATAACTATCGATATACATATATTTGCATAAAGATAAATGATTCATAACTGTAAATGCTTTAGAATTTCTAAAACTTTATATGGAATAAACATCATATCACATTTGACATGCATATTTTTTTATTTATAAAAAAACATACATATTTTCAATTTTCAAGGGTCTCAATTTAATACATATACTTTTTTTAGCTAAAAAATATCTTAGTTTATTTCAAAATAAATCCTATACTTTTAAATTATTGATAAAAAAATCTTTACCGTAAAATAATCGCACATAAACAAACACAAAACACAAATTTTATATCCTGACGAAAAATTTCAATTTCTCTTAATAACAGTCACATCATCGCGTAAGAATAAAATTTAAAATAAAAATTAATAAATAATAAATATATTATTAATAATAAATTAATAAAAAAATTAAATAATTAAATAATAAAAATATACACATACACATATACATACACATACACATATAGATATATCTATATACATGCATATATATACATACACACATAAACACATATATATACACATATATATATACACATATACATACATATAAATATATATACATATATATATACACATACATATACATATATACACATATATATGTATATATATACACATATACATACATATAAACACACTCATATATACGTATACATACATACATGCATATAAACACATACACATAGTTTAATATCAGCGAAACTGATTGACCAAAAAAGTTTGGGGTTGTGTTGACGAGTTAATATCAGTGAAATTGATTGACCAAAAATAGTTTAATTTTTTTATTAGTATAGATATAAACACACTGATATTGCCCTGGTCACATACACATATATAATAGTTTATATGAGTGTGTTTATATATATGTATATGTGTATACATACATACATATAAATACATACACATAGTTTAATTGGGTAAATCGATTAACCAATTATATATGTATTTTTCCTTTTATTTAATATGATAGGAAAGAAGAAAAAACAAAATTGATGAGATTCCCGCCACTTACAAACTCTCAATTGGCGCCAAAATCAAAGAACAAAAGCTGAAAAAAGCCCCAAAATCAGATCCATCATCTAAGAAGCCCTAGAACCAAAACCAGAACAACATTTCCAATGAAGATGAGATCCCTAAAACTCCGGGAAGCCCACAAGGTCGGCGGCCACGGCGCTTCGTTTTGCTCGATTTTGTGGGATCAGAAGGCGGTGCATCTCGTGACGTCTTCTTCCTCAGATCCGACCATCTCAGTCCACAACGAAGCCTCGCCCTCCACCTCACCGTTGACTATTCTTCGCCACCATCAGGATGGCGTCACCTCTTTGGCCCTCAGCCCCAACTCCACTTGCCTCGCCTCTGGATCTATCGATCACTCTGTCAAGCTCTATAAGTTCCCAAGTATCTCTCGTTAACAAATTTCTGTTTGTCCTATCGTTCCGGAATTTCTATTATGTTTGTAACCTTCGTCGGATTTGTTTTGGGTCTATACTAAACGGGTTTCGTGGTTTGTCCTTCAATTTTTTTTTTCTTGATTTTTTTTATAAAGGGGTGAGTAATTTCAGTGAAATTGATTGAATCTGACGAGTTGATACTTCAGAGTTTGGGGTTGTGTTCATGGATATGGAGCTTCCTGTTGAGAAATTGACTCTCATCTCTGTTGCAGGTGGGGAATTTCAGACGAACATAACCCGATTTACGCTGCCAATCCGTGTGCTTGCGTTTAATAGTTCAGGCAGTCTGTTGGCAGCTGCTGGAGATGATGAAGGAATTAAACTCATCAATACGATCGATGGTTCAATTGCTAGGGTTCTGAAAGGACATAAAGGACCTGTGACTGGCTTAGATTTTGAACCTAATGGTGAACTCTTGGCTTCACTTGACTCAACTGGGACTGTGATATGCTGGGAACTCCAGACTGGAACTGCTTCCTATACGCTTCAGGGCATTGCACCCGATACAGGCTCAGACACCTCCATCGTTAATGTTCTTAGATGGAGTCCTGATGGGAGAATCCTTGCTGTGCCGGGTTTGAGAAATGATGTGGTGATGTATGATAAATTTACTGGGGAGAAGCATTTTTCCTTGAGGGGTGATCATGTGGAGCATCTATGTTACTTGGAATGGTCTCCTAACGGGAAGTACATAGCTACCTCTGGTCTGGACAAACAAGTTCTTGTTTGGAATGTTGATCAGAAGCAGGATATAGATAGGCAGATCTTCGAGGAGAGAATATGCTGTATGGCGTGGAAACCGAATGGGAATGATTTGGCTGTCATTGATGTCAAGGGAAGGTATGGAATTTGGTATTCAGTGGTTCCATCGTCTATGGCTTCTCCTACAGAAGGTGTTCCAAGCATACTGTCAAAGAAGGGTAACGGGCTTCTTTTGTTTGATGAGGACAACGATGAAGAGCTTTCTGGGGCATCTGGTGGGTCGAGTGATGGCGGGGAAGATAGTAATGGAGAATCTCATCCTTCTGTCAGGAAAAGATTGAGGAGAAGAACTTTCATTGATGACGACGACGAAGATGTAGATGAAGAGTCTAATGATGAGAAAAAACTACCTTCTGCATTTGGTCACAGGAGAAAAGCACACAAGTCTCATAAGGATAACTTGGATTTGGTAAACGGGATTTCTAGAAGCATAGTGGCATCAACCAATCACAGAATGCAAGGCCCTTTTCAGTCATGTGCTACACCTTCACAGTCAGGGAAAAGGCGATTCTTGTGTTACAATATGCTAGGATGCATAACTACAATTGAACACGAGGGCTACTCCCATATCGAGGTACTAGAGTGAGATTATTTGAATTCGTTCTTCCCCTTAACCATTTGCTCAAAGAGAGATAGAGAGAGAGAGAGAGAGAGTCATACGCATGTTTCTTTTACGTGTAATTGAATCTACTTGTGCATACTTTTGTACATGCAGATAGATTTTCATGATACTGGAAGAGGTCCACGAGTTCCATCAATGACCGACTACTTTGGCTTCACTATGGCATCAATAAATGAAAGTGGATGCGTTTTTGCAAATCCCTGCAAGGGAGAGAATAACATGAGTACTCTTATGTATCGCCCGTTTAGCAGCTGGGCCAGTAACAGTGAGGTCGGAAAACCCATTTAGACAACGCTTCTTCAGATATTTTATGTTGGGTCAGGATGGAAAATAAAATGATTTGCTGACTTTTGATGTAATATGCAACATATAGTGGTCAATGAGGTTTGAAGGCGAAGAGGTGAAGGTTGTCGCGATTGGTTCCAGTTGGGTCGCTGCAGTTACAAGCCTTAATTTGCTTCGAATATTTAGCGAGGGTGGTCTACAGGTTTTTCCATAGCCTTTCTGCTTTACTGTGTTTGTGATAGTTGATAATGATAGTACATGCATTGAGTATAATATTACCATAAAGTTTTACTGTTGCTGGTGCATACTGAACTTTCTGGTGTTTATGGCGCGTTTTCTTCTCTGTCTGAATTATGGCCAGATGTAGAGGTTCAAAGTGACAGCAAGATAGTTGAAACATCTGGTTCTATATTCTTAATACAAGAGTGTGCAATTTTTCTTCAATATCAATTAACTGAACTAATTCGACACAGAATGCTAGGGAAA